CTTCAGGCCGACGTTGGCGCACCATGCCACGAGAAGGTCCACGCTCCGTTGCGTGTCCACTTCGGTCGGGGCGGTAAGAGCGCAGTGATCGGTGAAGAGCAGGTCGTGGACGTCGATCGTAGATGGTTGCGTTCGGGAGTTCATGCGTCCGCTGTTGAGAAGATGGTCATGAGTCCTATGGACGACGCGTATCCCAGGGCGCTCATCAATGGTAGATCTCTAGCAGCATGGCAGAAATCATGAGTCTGAAGAGGGCGAGCTCGTGGATAGATAGATAGATAATTTTTATTAAAGACCCGTCGGGGTCCCATCAAAGCAAATTAAAACAAATTTAAATGCGAGTTTTAGACGAGGTAGGCCGAATCTTTACAAAATGCAATTCATAGTTTCTGAATTAGATGCAGCCCTATTTTGCTCCATCGGTCATTGCGAATGCTTCGGATACTGCGCCGTTGCCCGCGAGGTGCGCCATAAACCCGTTGTGGACCTGACGTACCATGCACATGAACCGTCCAAGACAGGTGAATTACTGAATGATTTTACACCGCCCCACTTGATTCACCGTATCGGAGGTTTTCGCCAAATCCATAGAGGTAGTGTACAAGTGGTTTCGCACCTCCTGGAACGTCTCGCATCAGTTGCCCAGCAGCATCGTCGCATCCGTTGCTGCGCAAGGCGGCGACATTGGTAGATGGCCGCTTTAATTGCATCCGTCGGGCGATCGAGGTAGATTCTATGTAGCCTGTTCTTTTCAGCAAGCAGGTTGCTGATGACTGTGTCGTTTTCTCTGAATCAGTCCTAGTGCTAACGACGTGCGTGGCCGGTGACACCCACCGCGGTCCAAAACATGGCGTCTCGCAGCTGGCACCATCGTTTCTCTACGCTAGAGTTGAGGTCCGAGGCTGGCAGGTTCTCCATGTGCTGAGATAACTGACTGCTGAAATGTAAATGATGGGTAAGCAAATGCAACAGATTAGCATTCAACTAAACTGGTAGTCGTTTATCATGTGTCTTTATGAAGGGTTGCGGACGGAGACTCGTCTCAGAGAACGCGATGAGGTGGTCCGTCCAGCCATCGGTGCCGCAGATCACCTTGGCCACTACCACGTCCTGTTGATCGCGCCGCCTGTTGTGAAAGGGTAGAGAAACAGAAGGAAGCCTTTCTGAACCTCGCTGAAATATGAACGGGACGCAGGCAAATTCGACAGAACAACATATAACTTATCTGGTTGTCACTTACGATGTGGCATCTTACAGCATTGCAACCAGCGCCTCTTCTTGATGGTGACGATGCGGCGATTTGTCCGGTTTGCGGGTGGTCCTCGCACCCTCCGTATGACTTGGGAGGCGGTGCGGCAGAGAAAAGATAGGGATTATATGGATGGGCGTGGGAGGGTGTAAGGATGGGAAGAGAAGCGGAATGCCCTAATTGGGAACATAATAACACCGAATGCCCTGAACCTGATTGAGCCCGCCGGTTAAGTTGGTTACATTAGTATGGCCGCTCGGCAGAGCCTGGCTTTGGGGAGTTACTTGTAAGATTTCTGTGCTGGTTAATAGACGTTAGGCATCTTCAACACCTGCAAGCAGCTGAAGCGATCTACATCAACCATGACGTGAACCAACAGCTGAACACTACCACACCTCGTACAGTTATTTGAGATCTCCTTGAGAGCGTAAGCATAATCAAGGCAGTTTCGTTATTTGGTCGAAGTGGGGGGATTCTCTTACCTTGCTCTCATTTACCTAAAATTTGTCAAAATTGCTCTGTTTTTGCTTCATCCTCATTAATTTCTAGCTACCCCTAGTCTTCAGTAGATGAGAGGGATCTCTGTTTCGTGTGCTTCTTCTTATGCCACCATGGAGTTACTTAAGGTTCATCCTGTCAGCGTTCAGTCTGTCTTTGCCGAGTCTTGGTTTTTCCAAAGATAGAATTTTAAACTAGGTTTCCCAGCGCTTTCTTCTTATTTATGGACGCGGAATTCCTACTCGCGAGAGACTTTCTCTACAGATTTCGATTTTTGTGTACCTATGTTTTCAAAGCCTGTTCCGGCCACTGAGGTCTGTTATTCAGAATCCTCAGTGAAATTGGACAGAGGGAATACGAAATAACCCACTGAACTATTCACAATCATCGACGATGCCGCCTGAAATGGCTGGTCCCCAGTTCACACCGTTTACTTCGGATATTATTTGGCCTAAATCTCCGTACCAAATACTTCTTTTAATTTAAGGAGTCTGTTCTGTCACAGAACTGATGGAATACCTCAAGAGCAGCACGAGGTGGTCGCCTCGAAAGAAGGGGGTCTGTTGCGCTTTTTGAGGGCTGTGCAGCGATTTTCTGGGGAGTGCGTATAATGAACTGCAATCAATATGTGGTGCATACGCGCTGCTCCTAATCAAGACGTAAGCCCTGTCCGGAAATATTTCTGGTGCTATCGTACGAATGCTGACCAATTGACCAATTGTTGTCAAGAATTTAAAACAACAGTTATATAATGGTAGGTTATTTTCCACTGCTACCGCAAACAGACTATTTGTACGAGGATATCTGAATTTATACCACAGTCCAAATAGTAGTCACCTACATAATGCTCATATCTCAGGAATAAGTTAATGCTTTTTGAACTTTTTCAAAAACGGATCAGTAGACTCGTAAATTGTCAAGGCACGGTTTTCCGCTGCCATATGAGACGTTGTGCTGATTTTAACATTCAAGAATGATACAGGTCCACCATTACATTTCATTGCAGCCGCAAACGTGATTTCGTTACGTTTTATTATTTTTCTCCTATTTTTGGTTCACGAGTTCCATATTCGGTTTAAGACTTCCGCTATTGTATGAACAATTTTCGTTTTGTCCCTGCATTTTATGTCAGATTTCGGTGTGGAAGTTTTTAATTACTGTGATTTGTCCAGTTTTTGCGTTGTTTTTTGTTTTACTACTCACTGTCAGTGATTGGCATGGTCCTCAATAGTGCGATGATCTAAGGAAGAAAGCAGCAGAATAGTCAATCATCTGTAATATGAACATTCATAACATAACATACATAACATAACATGTAATACATTCACTTTTAACAATCAATCAGATAAGATGCCAAAAGACGATATCTGAAAATAATTGGAGACCAATGAGAACGATAAATGCCGCTCCAGCGCGTTTCTACGGTTTGTCAAAAATCCACAGGCCAAATGTCTCCTTACGACCCTACGACTAAATGGTTTACGAAGCACTTAAAGAAGCTAACGGAAGGATCCGAACACACAGCAGCCTCCTCAACACACATCCTGGAAAATGTCCGAGACGTGACAAAAGTCCCCAATGAGATCATGGTATCCTTTGATGTCGTCTCTTTCTTCACCTCCATACCCAAGGAGTTGGACATGACAGTCATCGGTGACTTACTGGAAAAAGTACGACGCAAGAAAAAAACCTTTTAAAAGAAAGCACGTGATTCAGTTACTGGACTATTGCTCATGCACGTATTTTACTTCTAAGGGCCATACTTATGAGTAAATCCGGGAACACCGATGGAATCCCCGATCTACGGCTACCTAGCTGGGCGGCACTGCATGAACTGAGAACTCGTGTATTTCGGTCCTATAAGCCAAAATTCTGGATGTGCTATGTGGGAGATCACTTTGTTGTTCTACACCAAGATGCGAAGGAGGCCTTTATAGGAGAATTAAACTCCATCTTCCCAAAAATCCAACTCACAGTAGAGGAAGAAAAGGACGGAACGCTCTCAATCCTCAACGTGCGGGTAACGAGGCGGACAGATGGAACCCTCCAGATCGGTGTTTTCGGAAAAGCTACAAACACAAAGAAAATAATCCACACCAACAGTAACCAGCCCCTTTCGCATAAACGCAGTTGCGTCCGGACAAATTTAATAATCATAATCATTTTTAATAAATACCGGTCGGGTTCCCATCAAAGCCGCATCAACGCGCAGTGCAGCACAGAGGCTGAGGAGCCACAAGAGCGTGCGTCCCTGTGGCACCTCTTCCTTGTCAATGGATACGCACGTAGCTTCGTAAGCAAATGTCTGTTCCAAAGACACAAAAAGAGTGACGGTAAGGCCAACCAAAAACCTGAGGTACTCCGTGTGTTTCCCTACATAAGGAACGTCTCTGAGGCCAATGAGTGTATGCTAAGGCCACTCAACGAGGACGTTGGACACCGAACAGAAGCCATTATTCGCCGATCAGTCGTGCAGCCTAAGAGTACGCTGCCCCCTGAGGACATGTCAGGTGTCATTTACCGCGTCAACTGCCTAAACTGTCAGGCAAACTACTGCGGCATGACAAACTAACGGCATACAATGCGCATGCATGAGCACACCTTAGCCGTCAGGCGGAAAGATGCACGCTCACACGTCGCAATGCACAGCTTGGGAAATGACCATCGGTTTGAATTGACGGCGCCAAAGTGCTCGGCCGAACGGAACGAAGCCTGACAAACAGACGATAATTCCATCAACCGCAGTGTCGACCTATCGGCACCATACGAGGCCGCACAACACTACTTACACACTAGGGAGGCTAAATGAGAATAGTAATTGATGGTTTTATCAGGGGTGAACGAGAGGACCTATTTAAACCGCACAGTTCTCAGATTTCCTATCTCCGATGATGGGCTCCAGTATGAGTGTGAAACGTGAGATGGATAAATCATCATCCCCACAGCTCGCCTTATCAACTTTTTCAATCTCAGCATCTGCAGTCAGCACTTTCGCCTATATCCACATTCACAAATATAGTTATGAATTAAATCTGGTCATAGTAACTATGTGAACGACATGAGTTTCCCTTTCTCCTAAGCCCCTCAGGACTGCACGAACTTACGAAAATTGATAGTATTTTGTTTGCAACGTATATGGATTTATGAAACTTCCTCTCTCAGCAATAAACTGTTTTTTTTTGTTTTTTCAAACAAACGAGAAGCGTTTGACCTTGTTGATGGGTTTTAATTTCCGCGGAACGTTTTAGTCCACATGACCACAGAACAAAGAGCGACACCGAGAAAGCCTCCTAGCGTCGTCAGCGCTATCAGCAGTAGGATTGGAAAGAAGGCAAATGTCTCGCCTCCGTCCTCGGTTGCCAGTCAGAAAACCTCTACTTCTAGAACTGTCACGCCTCTGCCTAAACCACCAAAGGTCAAAAATGAGATAACCATACCAAAGGCCTCAAATAAAGTCAAGTTATTAGGAGATATTCCACTTTCAGATGAAGATCTCGATCATTTGGCAGAGGTGTGCAAACGATATGAAATGCTTCAGAAACAGGAGGACGACCGAATTAGGTATACCATGGTGCACTTAGGTATACCAGAGTGCACTTTGTTCATTTCATATAAATGACTATAGTCTTCTTTCTTCTACAGAACATCATCGCCTTTTTCTTTTTCTATCTTTTGTCTTATATTCTAATAATGCAGTACTTTCCTATCTTTAGAAACAACTTAAATGAGTCTTGAGTTTTAAATATGCCTGAACACGTGGAGTACTTCACGTGCGCATAGTTGTACAACAATTCTTGCATGTTATGCGTTTATGTGCATATTGTTGTTTTTGGTCGTATTTTTCGTTTGAACAGCTAGCAATCGCCTTTGTTGCTTTGCTTGTAACGATATATTCAAATGAAGATTGAGCAACTGCATCCGCGTTTGTTACAGATGTTTGTTTAGTATGGTGCCTCTACCCTCATGTGAATTGTGCAACGTGCCTTTTAGTGAAATTTCCCATACTTCAATATTAATACTTAAGGTTTATAACCTATAACCCTATAAGGTTTAGCATATACATAACACTCGAATGAAAATTTTCATTCAAATGTCATTTACATGATTCTAACCCTAAAGTGCTTTACGTTCATATTATTATTGATTTAAGGGAGAGGAAAACTCTCACCCACGAGAACGGCTTGCATTTGAAATAGGACTATCGTTAGCACAAAGGGAACTTTTATACCCCATGTTTTAGAATTATCCTTCAGAAAAAATTGCAGGCCGTTATCCTTAGACCTGAGTTATTACACGCGAAGTAATTCGTAATCAGCTTTGTGACTTAGAAGGTGTCGATGTTAATTTTCATCATGCATCATGAACTACTATGTCATAACGGACATATTTTTAAACTACGAATAGCCCTTTCGGTTTGTGGACATTTTGACACATTTTAATTAGGTTCAACCACGCATGTTTTGACACCCCCAAGGCAAATTTTAAGGAATCGCTTTTTGTTTTAGAAAGATTCGTGAGGCTGCTGTTCAGCGAGAACGAGACCGGAGCGGATATATTACAGAAGATACACAACACTGTAGTCTTTGTGGATCGTATTTTATGTTTTTGATTAATCCCCGAAATGAATGCGAAGAGTGCCAGAAGTACATCTGCGGAAACTGCATTTCGAGGGCTATGTCCAAACAGATAGTGCTCTGCAAAAAATGTTACACAGAAAGGCAAGTTTCCGTTGACATCTAAGCCATTTTACTTATGGTTTCGTAAAACTATTTTTTATTTGCGGCATAATTTACGTCAGCAATCTCGATCACGTGTCTTAGATTACAAGCCTTAAATAAGGTTTATTAACTCTGACGCAGGTACAAATTTAAAATACCCTTAACTGCAGCGGGGTTTAAACGTTTCAATCCGTATTTGCAAACTCCTGCAAACAGACTGCTGTCCTACTTTTACTTAACATTTAAAGTTCAGCCTTTAACCTATAAGAATGTTGAGAAAGGCAGCACTGCCGAATATTGCGTGTGAAATATTTTCATTTAGTTCGATTTTTTAATATTCTCTTTTCCACTTTCTTAGTTTAAAAGTTTGCTAAATTATTTCCCTGTCAGCTGTATTTTATAATCTAGTATTTTTTGAATCTTCCTTAAAATACGACTGCCTGCACTACTGGTCTAGCGCAAAATCATCTCATAATTGTACTTAATTTCGATGACATTTTTTCGTCTAGTATTTATAGATCGTAAGATTGCCAGTATTTTTACAAACGAGCTGGTATACAGAAGAATTCTATCAGGCTCTACGTAACGTATTGTCATTTAAAACTTTATCAGCAAGCAAAGAGCGGAGACAGGTCTTTGGTTTATGGACCAACTTCGTCGAGCCAAAGCAGAAGGCAGAATCCAAGGAGTTGCACCCGTCAGCGCTCTGCGATCCTCCCTAATACGAAAAAAGAAAGGTCAGTGTTCAAACCAACGGTCTTTTTGTGTTTTGAATTGGTATTGTCTCGAGACTACCATTGTAACCATCTTTTTAGTTGCGCTTATTTAGTTTTTTTAAATTTGATTGCTTTATTCGTTTGCCGTTTTCCACAAAGATGCAGGATTTTCAAAATCGTCAACCTGTTTTTTACTAAATTTGAGGATTGTACTACTGGATGACGTGTTTTATATACTCATTTGTACACCTGTTATATTACCAACGATTTTTATCAGAACGGAATGACTCGCAAACTTCCTTTGTCTGTGTGCAGTTTTTAAGAACAGCAAGCGAACGCCCAGTTACTTATACAGAAAAGATTTAGATAAGTATTAGGTTCGAGTTGGCACGCCTTTCTGTTTCCATTTATTAACACCCTGCCATACAAAAACACACGTTGTACGCTAGAGTTTGTTTCCGGAAGCCTTTTGTCATTTAAGCGTCGTATTTTGACCGTAACTTTAGTAGGCACATAAACATTCCTTTTAAGTTTCATGAGATAAATTGGGCAAAACGCAATGGTTTGTTTCGGTCTAAGCATCCTTTTTAGCTTGCGGAATAAGCAGCTGCAAGACATAAATAGAATTATTACGAATTTTATGTATGAAGCAGTTTAGTCGATGATTATCAAAAACAAACTGTTCGGGGCGAAAATTGATTATAACTGTGTTTGATGTTTTTGTCCCTTGAATATCGTAAGTTTGATTATGGCTGTGCAATGTTCTAAATCAAAAGAGACTTAGTAAAATGGCAGTCCACTGATTTGGCTTTGTCTGCATGTTGCGCTCAAGCAACTGACTAAGAGCTCGCCCAGCCTATAAATACAAAGTCCTCCGTTGCAAGATTAAAAAGACGAGCTTATTTATAAATACCTCTGTTTTTACTTGAGCATATGGCAATAAGCCCAGCCTCTTAATATACAGCAGTTCCCCTCTCCAGGCTACTAGTCTATATGAGACTGCCTGTGGATCGAGCGTAAAAGCACAACACTGGGAGCATGTATCCTAATCCGATTGTCTAACGACCAATAGGGCCGAAGAAGCCATTCCAGTCATCCTTGTCCTTGTCGGTATTGCCATCAGGCATATATAACTAGCCGCTGTGCAGTCGTCTTTGGGACTCTACATTGAATCCGAAGGCGCAACGTGGCGAGTATATCCCGTAACGCGATCCGTAAGCGTCCATCCTGTATAGTTAACTGTCCGAGTACGACCGAAAGTACAAATAGTCCGTGCCTTAATAGTTAAAATGTGGACTCATAACCATAACGGTGAGGATTTAAGTCTCGAAGTTTGCAAACTTAGGATTGGGTATGACTGGTTAATGACAGCTAGTTGATGAGAAATGACTATTTCAGTCTCTCTTTCCTTTGTTGTCAATGTCATTCTGCATATACATATATAGGGAAGAATTAGTTTATAGTGTTAGAAGACTTGCGCGCCATCTACAGCACTCTCTCCTCCCCCATCTCGGGCTGGTGTCAAGACAGAGTCAATAAGACCGAAGGCGGCTGGCACGGTCGGACCCTCCCCTAGGCGTGTCACCACACTCCTAGGGACCAGGACCAGGACTTTTTTAGAGCCATCAAAACCAGAAACAACAAAGCCCCATCAGGAGTCAGAAGGACGAGAAAGAATGGGCAGCCATGCCCGCCACCTGTAAACCCAGCCAATGGGCAAGCACATCTACCTACAAGGAACCAGGTGTCAGGTGACTGCCGGCGCATACGAGACTGCGAGGGCCATTGATTGCTGATACTGACATAACACACGCTTTCAGACCTGCAGGTCATCGCGCCTGCTGCACCTTGATGTGTAGCACGCGGTGGACATTGTTGGAATCGACGGTCGGTCTTTCATATTCGGAAAAGGAAATTCAATGGGAAACTAAAACTTTTATTGTGTAAATTTTCGAGGCTGCTCTCCCAGCCCGTCTTCAGGCTATGTGTGTACAGGACAATTGACTTTATAACGAAGTTAAACAAAGGATTCTACAGTTGGTCAGCGTTTGTGCTACTACGTGTTGATCACCTTTCGTCGATTCCTTGGGATTGAGTGTGCCAGTTTGAATTTTTTCCTGACTGTTTTGTATGCGGCATCTAGGTCGATGTGCCGGCTGATGCATGTCGTATCTGAGTGCACTGCTTCTAAGAACTCGCGGCCCTTTCAACGATACGAATGCTCCTCCATGCAAATTTGTGTCTAGTGTTTAGTGTGTATATGGCCAACTGGGATAGATGGTTACGTCTCTCCACCGCTAACTGATGTTCATGTGTACGGGTGGGGGCATACTTCCCAGTTTGATCACAACAGACGGCACCAAAATTAGCATATGGTATTTTATATGCAATACTTTTTCTATCGAAGTAACCATTTATGTCATTCAGGTGTACGGGCTGTGTGCTACGCGTATCCGATGTCCTTTTGAGTTGCCTTTCGACTAGTTCATATACATTTGTCATGTATAGGAAAGTTTGCCAGGTGGGTGGTTTTGGTACCCGGGCAGCCGCGGCATTGGAAATACCTTTCACTTAGAATTGTTGGTGCCTCATGCATTGACGTATAAGGTCGTGTGGGTACCCATTTTGGGAGAATAATTTGTAAAGGTATTTCTTTTCTGCTCAGTAACTTGCTTCATCAGAGCAGTGGGTTTTGGCTGGATTCAGAATACTGTACGCTCTATTCTATTTGTGAGAGACACTCGCGGTTACCTTCAAAGTGTAGGATAACCTCTGAATGCGCATCTTTACGATAAACTGATGTGTGAAGTGACCCATCAGTTTTTCGGCGTACAAGGACATCCAGGAATGGGAGTTGTCCATCGACCTCCGTTTCAGAAGTAAACTGTATTCCTGGAAATATAGAGCTAACATTGGTATGGAACAGATTTAACTGGTTTTTCTCGACAATGGCAAAAGTGCCATCTACGTAGCGCGACCAGAATTTTGGGCTAACTGTGTGAAGAGCCATGGTTTCTAATTTCTGCGGTGATGAGGTATGCATAAACCGGCTCTAGGTGCCGCACACGAAATCGTTAAGGAAGAATGCAAATTGGTGCAATCAATCCCCAATAGGTTACGAAAGGTGATAAACACGTATTGACGAAAACCTTGACCAGTTAAAGAATCCTTTGTTAGATTCAGTTAAGAAATTAATTGTTTTTGTACACCCATAATCTGAAGACGAACTGAGAGACCAGCCTCAAAAATTTACACAATAAAATTTCCAGTTTGGTAAACAATTTTCTCTTCTTGATTAAATCTTCTGGGATTCCACTTTTTCGAATCACACACACACAGCAGTCCGACCGTCTATTTCTACGATGTCCACCGTGTGCCCCACAGCAGGGTGGGAGCAGGGACTGTGACTTGCGCGGAGGTTTATAGTGCCAGTAGACTTGCGCTGCATCTACCACACTCTCTCCTCCCCCGCCTGAGTCTGTTGTCAAGACAGAGTCAAGAAGACCGGAGATGAGGGAGGACGCAGGTGGATGACTTGGACGGATCCGCACCTTGGCGCTCCACTCCGCACCCCCTGGTCCACACTATAAATGACCAGGATTTTGACCAACAAACCAATGGAGGGATGGCAGTGGTCCCAGTTTGTTGGACGACTGCGACAACAGGGTCTGCCTGGCCACCCTCTAGATGTTGGCATTTATTATTGCGCAAGATAATGCCTGCCAGAATCTGATGTGGCCCCCGTGTTGGTCCAGCACCACTACCACGTGGCCCGTTTAGGAGGCACTACACACACACAGAGATATATATATCGAACGTATTTCACCGTACTCCCGACATAGGCACTAATTAAAAAGGTCATGTCCCGGAGACATAACCCCATGTCCTGCACTGAGTAATTTCCGAAATTATTCACTTGATTATTCTCTGGAGTTCATATACCAGAAACCGCATAGAGAACGCTGGGGTTCCACCGAAGAGCCGAACCCCTCGCGGTTGTGTCACGCAGCGGCAGAATATCGGCAAAACACGTGTCTGGGCTTTTAGTTAGTGCATATGTCGGGAGTACGGTATAATACTTTCGATATATACATTTCATACTACTCGCAGTACTACCTGTTTGTAGGATGGGCATTACGTGGTTATTCCACAGTAGTCGATTGACTTCGACTCAAGTGTTCATTGGAATTTCGGTTCTGACCCTAAAATGTCATGTCCTGGAGATTTAACTCCACGTCTTGCACAGAGTAATTTCTGAAATTATTCACTTGATATATATATATATATATATATATATATTGCCAATTAAAGCGAAAATGCGCGTCCCCGGGGATAAATGAGAAGAAGAGGCGATCTCGGGAACCATAGGTTTCATAGCCTGACGTTTCAAAAGCAAACAAGCTTCCATCGTCGGAGGTGGGTTCTGTACGGCGCCTCACAGTATTTATGGGTGCTGAGCATGCGGGAGTGTTGTCGTTCCTACTGCTATTCGTGCAGGATCTGCTGCGGGGGGAGCTAATTGCTGTCGAGCTGGTCGGTCCCATCCTGCGTCTCCTCTTCGGGTGGGCTGCGTCGGGATGGCAACGGTCATTGACCTCGTCTGCATTGCCCGCATTTGTTGTGCCTGACCCGCGTTTCTCGTAATTGTCGCCCGTTTGCCTCTGCCCGTGTGCACCTCGGTGGCTGCTGGCCCGTTGCCTGTTTCTCCTTTATCGGCCTGCTGGCCCCCGTCATCGGTGTTTGGGCGCGAACTGTGTTCACCTGGGCTTGTGATGCTGACTTCCTGCCTTTGACTCCGTTGGTTGAACCGCACTCGTAGGGCCTGGTAGGCTGCCGGGAGAATCGTGCAGCGGTTGATGGAGGTTGGTACGGTGTGCCAGGCTTCGAGCGTTTCCCTAGCTGTCTGGTCGGTACCTCGGCCTAGGATTTCGGCTTTCTGGAAGGCGAAAGTGTGCCCAGAGGCTGCACAATGTTCCGCCACCAGTGAGAGTTGGTCCATCCTTCTTACTGCCTTTGCGTGCTCACGCATGCGGGTTTGTAGACGTTTTCCGGTCTCTCCTACGTAGTTCGCCTCACAGGAACTGCACTGGACACGGTAGACGACATTCGCTGTCTCGCCTCGTGACAGAGGGGCCTTGGGTCTCATGATGAGACGTCATATTGTCGCTTCAGGTCTGTGGGCGACGCCGATCCCCAGTGGTTGTAAGAGACGAGCGACTGCTTCCGATACATTCTCATATATACATTCGATATATATATATATATCAGAGGGGAGACGACAGAGTCTGGGTGGGTAGATTGATACAGCACTGTTTCGAGCTTGTTTGCCTTCATTCAGCCAATCATAACCCTGACCACCAGCAGCTGGGACCAGAAACACAAACATGCGCACAGACGCATCTGGCGCAGCTGGCGCAGCTGGTCCACCACTATGGTCTACCAGATGGGTCACAAGCACTTCATCGAACCGAAGTTCATCAGCGCCTCGCCACCTGGCATTCTCTGTGCGCCCATTGCTGTGTGAATAAATACCTGATTTGTCAGCTGTTCTTCGCTACAGGGGTGCCAGTCTGCCTCATTGTAAAAGAAATGAACCTATTTTTTGTTGAAATTGCAGCTTCCGTAGAGGAGATATAACCATATTTCATGTGCGCGTTGCTCAGCCATCATTTGCCGGACGAATGTTAAACACACGTAGTCGAGCTTTCGTCGTTGAAATAGAAACGACTCTATTAATACCCAACAAATAATATGACTAACTGGCCAGCAACACTTATTTAATTGATGATATTTTCCTTTCCTTGTTAGCTAAGCACTGCCACGACGTATTCACAACTGCTGACTTTCGTAAGCTTGTTCTGGACAGAGACCGCTGGAAATAAGCTTACTTTTGGGTATGAACAGTAATAGGAAGGTGGTCTTTTGCATTTTACATCTACGTCACCTGTGCTCCAACCAAAGTGATAGTGAATATCCAGGTGACATCAAAGCGGGAACCTGACACTAACAGGCCTACTGCCATCTCTGTAAAACAGAACCAGGTGAACAGTGAAAGGCATCTCTATTCGATGGCTATGGCACTTCGGTCTTTTGTGAGGCACTTCATCAGGCCAAAGCCTAGACATAAACTGATCGGCGAAAGGCTGCGTTAGAAAAGTGAACAATTTAATTTCTGAAAAGTGTTGCTCTGGGTCAGTGTTAGAAAGAACCATCGGAGAAACTAGACTATCCAGCTTCACTCATTTTCCTAACGTCATTGACAGCTCACTGCCGTGAGAAGATGGTAGAATTCACGCAGTTTGGTCGCTGCATATTCTGTGATCACTGACATTGCATTTAATCTCTATGCGGGACCCGGTATAGTTTATTCTTCAGGAAACGATAGACTGTCTCCCCTTTTTTCGCTTTCGAATTTTGTCTATGCCTATGGTTGACCTGTTAAGTATCCTAAGTTTTGATAGCAGATGAACTAAGAGCATCGTACAGCGATGTAAGAGGAAGTTACCTCCTAAATACCCCGATCACGCCCCTTTAAATTAAGGAAAAGTCCTCCACGGTGCCATCTATCCGTACAAATCTCTATCCTGGTGTAGCAGTCGTCCTGTCCACTTAACCCCTTCAACTGATTTATTCAAGTCCGATCCGGAGAAAAGGCCGCGTCCTACTTACTTGGGCCTTTGGGAATCAGATTCCATTTGGGTTATTACCCCTGGTTTATCTGATGTCCGCATAGCATAGGTGTGTTTTCTCACGGTTTCATGAATTCGGCGGTCAGCGAAGCCGTGTTAGTGATGATCAACATAGGTGGATATGAATAGTTGAGGTAATGTGCATTCATAGATAATATGATGAAGATAGAAGGCTCGTCGGAAAAAATTGGGTTCAACTCGTGAATTTTCGAGCTGGTGACACCAACCCGTCGTCAGCCGAAATAAACAGAGGAGAAAGTGAAATGGTCAGACAAGCAAGCAACTAATGTATGAAATGGGGGTGGACACATAATTAGGCTAGGATCTGTGGCGTGGGGGGTGGGGGAATTGTTGCGGCTCCCTGTGTTGGAGGGTAGGGAGGATGATGATTCAATGGGATTACGGACAGTGGACTTAGTGTTCGTCGGTCCGGCATGCAGTTAGAGGTCAGTGAGCCAACGCAGAGGTGTTAGCGATTGCAGTTGCTTGTCTGTCATACATTAGTTGCTTGCCTGTCAGTGGCTGCCTGTCTGACCATTTCACTTTCTCCTCTTCTTATTACGTCTGTCGACGGGTTGGTGTCACCAGCTCGACAATTCAGTAATACAGCTCAATTTTTTCCGACGAGCCTTCTATCTTTATAAATAGGTATGTTTAGCAATATCTAAGGTCACTCAAACGAACTTATCTGATTTGTCACTAGACACCGCGAGACTAGAAGACGCGTTTAATTGTGTATCTTTTCTCAGCGATCCCACATGAAGCTCAGTATACTGCTAAAGCCAGGGTTAAATCTCCTCAGACCGTTTTGGGACTATGGCTTTATTACAAACCCTCGCATGGTTGGACAGTTCTCAGTGTTTCTCCATTGTAGAGATAATTCCTGCTAACTGTTGATGACCTGGGTGTTTTAAGTGTGTTTTAAAGTTTGTTTTCAACTAACACAACACCACATAGCTGTCGTCAGACATGCAATTTGTCAATGGAAGCTTTTGAATTGTTTATTCTACTGTCACGTAATTTGTTTTCGTTGTGACGAAATCCGTCGGCATGATTTCACGCATTTTGAAGTTTAATTAGTCCGCGAATTGTCAGTGGTAACTGCTAACCTTTACAATAATCCACAACCATTTCTGCTAAAATTTGGATACCGAAATACCGGGTGCCATTGCTTTCCTCGAAATAACTTTGTCTGACGGTGGATGTCGGTTGGTCATTTCATGCCGTGTTTACCTTAACGTGGTATTTTGCTTCCTTAGAGTAAAAAAACATTATGTTACGTTTTAGTACAAACATGCAGCTCGGTTTGAATGCTCGATGCTGGAGAAATGCGGTTTTTCACAACGACGTTTATAGTAATTATTTAATAGAGAAGTTTAAACGGTTTACAAATCGGTTTTTCAGAAAATCAAATCAAACGATCGTTTGAGGAAGTTTTGGTATGCAGTAAAGTTACTTTTTACGTGCGGACTTCCTGCTACGTACAATTTTGGCAAAAATAAAGGGAAATTGATTCATTATTCAGTTTTATGGGAGTTCCACTGGATTTGCGAGTCGGCAGTCACGAGAAACAGAACCAACTTACCAGATGTAGTTTTCTTTTCCTGCTTCATAGCTTCGAGCAGATGTAGCAGAAATGTCTAATTAAACACTCATGGGTGCAGATAGTTTCATGTAACTCCGACGCATGTTTTGCTCATCATGACTGTGTCGTCTCGGCGTGTCTTGACTCGTGCCTTGTGGAGAATTACAAACATATATTCTCCAAAATAATAGCTTTCGATATCTCAACGAAACAAATTTGCTCAGCGCATGAGTCTTACATCAAATGATTTGCCTAGTCTGTAGTTTTTAAGGAATATTAATACCTGCCTCCCGTAAAATACTTCGAAAAATACAAATTAGTAGCGTCTTGTTTAGACAAAATCGAGTAAAAATTGTTTAGCGTTGCGTTCATCTTTTTTTAGAGAACAGCTCTGCCTCTTCTGTGGTTGGATTCCCAATAAACAGTAAGTTTTACGGTATTTAAAACTTAATACAATTATCTGTATATTGTTATCAGAGGGAAGCGTCCGTTCGGGTGGCACCAAGTAACTTGCTTTATAAAATTTAGTCAATTTACTTCGGACAAAAAGTCAACGCGAACCTTCCTCGACCCGCATCGGCAGCCTGACGCAGTCTCTTGAATACATTAGAGCGGTCTGGGAAGGCCGCTCAGCTTGTGTTAGAACTTAGAGTTCTGCATCAAGTGTTTAAATGTTTAAAGTATATTTCGGGGAGACCAACGGACAAAAGGCGCTGGAAAATCGTAAATGTGGAGTTTCCGAAAGCATCTAGTTGCATCGATGCATCAACTTTGCCCAGAAAGCATCATAGACATATGAGACGAGCCTATTTTACTAAAGCTACGCACATCGTTCAGTTCTTCTTCCGAACGGATGTTTAGTTGTTTGCGTATATTTTGTCTGGAATTTTCTCCGCAAAGGGGAAAAATCGACAACAAACTGCACGAGAATCTGTCGACGCTGCGCATCCAGTCGAATACGTTTGTGAAATCTGCCAAACCGTGCATTTATATTTCAAATGTTGTTCGTCAGGTAGGACATCTAAAAATTTCGCTCCGATTTCAACCGATGACGAAAGTCAACCTCGCCCTTTGAATTACGCTGCTAGTAACTGTAAAATGTAATCAGTCCCATTTTATTCGGAAAAAAATCATTGGGAACATATTTAGACGGTATGGGATCTTCTATAAGATTTCAAGCACTATGCCCTTATAGCCTAATGTTAAACTTGCTTGTCCAGCATTAATTGCGTGTGCGCACTCTCAGTTTCACCGTCTTAGCCAATTTTCGAATCGTAATTTTCGGAGCTGGTTAGTTGGAATTTATCGCTTATTTGTCTAAAAGCCTGAACTTTCATAAAATTGAGTTAGTGATAGCGTCCGATAAACCAAGTAGTTAGAAAGTATTAAACGCATCACTTTATTCACGGAACTTTGTGTTATTATTCTGGTCTATTTCGTTGGACCAATTATTGAGGGCACCTCACGACCCTCCGCCGGCTCCAAAACACTAGGACAAACAACAGGACTCCTACGCCGCCTGTTATCCCTAGAAATAAGTGTAATCAATTTAGCCACCAACAATCCTCAGAGTATGCTGAATACTTCTTATATAAGGATAACCTGATTTTGAATTAATTGAAGCCAGTTTGTTTGGATTGGCCTAGCAGGGCTTCATTGGTTTTATGCGTCTTACATGCCCATTTCAGAATTATTATGTTTGGCACCACCTGGGGGTAGGGACTGCGGACAATTGTATTTCTACTAAATCTAAGCGACACGTCGGACATTTGCTGATGCAAATCTAGTAAATTAGTGATTTTTTAAAACTATTTATGAAAATTCCTCCCGCCTTTTTGGAGGCTGCGGTTTCGTGAAATCGAGTTTTTTTTACCTGTGAATTCATTTTCATCAGACCAAATAACCTCGTCATGTTACCCAAAGACACTGAACGCCCGAAAGTTTCTTGAGCCTGAAGCCATTCAAGCCACATTTTGGATAGCGATGTCTGTGCTGTTTATAAATTCTTCTTTACACTTGTGACATACTTCATTGCCTTAGTGAATTTGTAATAAAGTTTCTCCGGTCACAGGCGAAATTAACGTCGCTGTACTTTCTTGGCCTGAGTTCCGTACTAAAAGAGATAAATTAAAGTGCATATTTATCTAAAAGTGATACTTTTAGCCACGTAAAACAGTCAGAATTTTATTGAAACTGAGCGGCCTTGCTGTTACGCAGCATTTAGCATGCGTCAGTATGCCGCATACCCGTTCCTTAGGAATTACCCTCAAATATCGAAGTTTAGTCCTTGTAAATATTATCTTTATCGAGTAACGGAGTAGTCCAAAGTTCCTTAATTTATAAGTTAACAGCAAAAATACAATGCTTACTTTTATCCTCGAGTATAGAACTTTCTCGAAAATGTTGTTCATTGACGGACACAGCGCCTACAGTTTCTTTAAATTAATTATCCGTTTTACAAAAACCATCGACACCTAAATATGACGTCCCGTTTTTCCGTTCAGATTAGTTGCCAGGGCCCGAGACCGCCTTAGATCTCACCACTTTTAATTAAAAATCTCTTTCGATTCTTCCCTGTTCGTTTAGCAAGGCCGACAATCAAAGATATTGCCCCGCATAGACAGTAAAGTTAAATGTCTTGTTATCAGCCACCACAGAGTTGATGGTGATCATAAGTAGTCCATTTTTGTGGATTTCTGCTCATACACGATCCTCACATTGAAACATTCACTATGGTGGTAGAACGTTTCGGTGTGTTTTGCCTGTGTGTAATCAGTCTGTGCACACGCGGAGTGCTAGCCTTACTCATCGCATTCATCACATTGTACCTGTTTTACCTGGGCCAAGCAGCTGCGAGGCTTCCTCGCTCAGGCTAGACAAGCATGCCAACGTTGACTCCTATGCTTGAACTCAGCAGAGCAAAAACAGGCGCAGGCGTTGGTTGCCCTTGGTATACAATGAAGCGCTGTCACGTGTATTCAGGTCTTGCAATCTGTGTCACCACAGCTGCCGTTCCATCCCCCGGGCGTGCGGGGGTTTTTGTAAAAGGGATGACAAACGCATGTCACAGTGCACACTTGAGTTCAGTATCCAAATGGAAGGCGATAAGCCACGCGCCCTCAAGCTTAACGATGTCAATAACGGTTATCATGTAAAAAATCAACTAAAGAGCCCATTTTTTGGATGATGACAGCTGATAGCGTAGAAAAGGCAGTATGGTATCTGCTGCATGCTTTACTGATTAGAAGTCACCGCTGAGCTCTATGATTTTTATTGTAAAATGCGACAGAGTTGGAGGTGCATCTATTCGCATGGAGACATTTTAACGGCTAATTACTTTCAGGAAGCGTGCGCGAGGCAGCCGGATATGTTCGATGTGTTAAACTTTGAAAGCAGATTTACGGTTATATTCGACAACTGAGTAAATTCATATAGGCTGGGCATTTTGCGAATCTGGCTGTCAGTTTAACTTAGGCTTCACCGACAGGGGAATGCAAGAGAGAATGCAGATAACTCGCTTACCCTAGTTGTAATTTCTCTAGTTGCTGTGAACTTCATAAGGAAATTCCCGTAATGGGAAGGTTGTTCATCTCGCATCCTCTGAAGGCTCAAATCATGGAAATACCGCTCGTTCGCGAAAAACGCAAGTTTTTAAATTGCACTTGGTTGCTGACAGTTTGGTTACAACAAAAAATGCAGACACCGAACATGTTTCGTTTGGCCAACTTAAAACCAATGATAGTAATTCACGGTGAGGAGTTCATTCAGGGCCGGGGCTTGTTGAAAATCGTGTCGACTACAGTAGATGTTCAAACTCATGAAATGTCAACCTAAATTTCGAAATGCGTTCTCATTTCGAAAAGATAAATTAATTAGTGTTGTAAAACTAATCATGATGCAGCATAAATGTAAAATAGTCCAGTTACCCCAGGGTGTCGGCTTTCGAAAGAACTTATTTTCGGCTGCGTGCAAGATCAATACTCTGCAAAAAATGACTACTTAAGTGGTATGCGACTTTCTCATTGATTTTCGATGCCCTTGAAAATTCAATTGAAAACATGCATAAAAATATTCATTACTTTACTTATTCGATAGACAATCACGTCTTCTTCCAATTTCATACTCAAAAGAAGAGTATAATTCGTTTTTAAAAAAGTTTCTTATTGTGAGATTTTTTAATACCGTTAAATGGCCGTTCATGAAACGTCATGTATCTGCATTTACTAATGTGGCTTG